ACCATGATTCCTGGCAGCAATCAGTGGAGCTGGGAAGAACAGGGCAACACGTCAACAGATGTCACATCTGCTTCCTCTCCTAAGTGTCTTCAGCAACTCTAATATCGCTCAGTAACAAGATGTGAGGGTGACGGGGGGGCAGCTGCGTACCATATCGGCGGTGGAGGCGCAGCCCTGCACATCTCTTATCAGTGATTATGACTGCAGCGTGTTTAACAGCGGTCGTACAGCAATTTCACAGCCGAGGGGAAGGGGAATAATTGTATTTTCCAAATGACTGAGTGCAAACAGTGTACCACAGTGCTGCTGGGCTCGCCTCTCTGGTCGGGACGAGGAGATGGCGTGTTAGAGCTGCTGGTGAGGACAGGGAGAGCAGCAATAGAGGGTGTACAAATCAGACGTTTGGGTTTTACAAAATCTGAAGTACAGCTTTTTCAAGTTTTCTTCTGTCTTTCACACATCTATAGATCCACAAAAGTTGTTAGAAGTTGTTTGAAAAACCTTCAAATAATTATCTTTTATGGCACAACCTAGGACTGAAAAAAAATGTTATCTTGAATACATTTGTTCAAGCTATAGTATGGAACATGTTTGTTAAAACTGTCACCATGTCATGTCAGTAAGAGACAGATAATTTGTGAAAACATTGAAGTCTTTGAACTCCTCCCTGGTGTTACTGCCTTCTGAAGAAATGCCAGGAGAAATACCAATCAGAGCCAGGAGGTGGGTGTTAGTGCTGTCAATCATACTTGTGGATGCACAGTTCAATATATGCAAATGGTGAAGAAACAATTCACTGTTACAGGAAAACCATTGAGCCACCCTCATAATTGGACATGCTAATTTGTTTTAGCATTCATTCCTATATTTATATATGTCATATATTCTCACCACATTGAGTTTTAATATGTAAAAAAAAAGGGAAAAAAATACTTTTTATCAAGGTTATATGGTGTATCTTTTAAGTGGACTTCTGCAGGCTTCTGCACTTGACAGTTGGAGAAGATATCAACATGGTGACGCCAATAAAAACATAGAACGCAATACTTTTTTTCTGAATATAGTTTTAGTTTTACATCCAATAAACTTAAACTACTTTAATTTCTTCAGTTTAGAGTTTCAGGTGCTATGTGACATTAATTTTAGACACACTCTTACTTCAGTGTTTTGTAAAATAAACATAAACAGCCTGCTACTGTTGATAAATGGCGGCCATTTTGAAACGTGACGTCGCAGAGTAAAAAAAAAACTGATGGGGTTCAATGTCCTCATATTGAACCGACTCTACTCTCATCATGTGAGCTGATGAATGTCAAAACAGAACATTCTGGCTTAATCACAGGGGGCTTGAACTGTCACAGAGAATCTAATAAAAAAAAAACAATGTTTTTTCTCCTTATTTCATTGCAGTTCTGTTGTATTGTACTTATTTACAGCTAAATCTAACTGAGACAGAATAAGGTCTAGTTTCTGAGAGTAATCCTGTTTTAATAGACATATAAAGCAAATATACTATAATTAAATGTTGCGTTTTGCAAAGTGAGGTTGTTCTTAACCTGCAAAAATGGAATTGTTTTTTCCAACATAGTACACATCTGAATAATTAACACCTCTGATTTTGATTCAGGTATTTTTACACGTTTTTCTTAATAAAATGTATTAATAAACATTGAAGGATGAAGGTAAAGATGCTGAATATTGCTTCCTTATATGTAAATGAACAGCTTTAGCATTAGACTAATTTGTGTTTATTGCTGATTAGCTACTTAAGTGTTAATATGATCAAATTATCAAACAGCTTTTAAGAAAACATCTGTCCTGTAAACATCTGTATAAACATGTTTTATGTGAAGTTAGAGTGGCATTGCTCCATACCCCAATAATGGATTATTAGATTTTTTTATTTTTAGCTCCAAGGTCCCTTCCAGGAGAGTTTCCTCTTCCTTGAAACCAAAACAGCAGTTCCAGCTCTGACAAACTTAATTTCTTCCTGCAATCATTGTATCCTAACATTAATTTAAACACACAGACTTAGTAAATGATGATCAATCTGGAGCAGCTGTTGGTAGCTGCTGCGCAGCAGTCCAGCTGCAGAGCTCAGCTGCTGCAGACTCGCTCTGGCTCTGCTGGAGAGACGCATCCGTCTCCACTGATTGTCCTGGAGAACGTGGCTCTAATGACCACTGCAGGGGCAAATGAACCATCATTTGTTAATCATCGTGAAATAGAAGGATAACGATCATGTGCAGGTCATTTGTTCTTACTGTTCTGAATTCTTTCACTTTGTTTCCCACAGAAGAGAAGTCGTTTCTGATGATGGAAAACAACAGGATTTTGAGCGGTGACGGTTTAACATTCTGATTTTAGTTCTCTCTGTACTTCCTGTATTAAGCTGGAGGATATCTTGGGAATGTCAGACTGCAGCAAACTTCTGAAATTTTATGTTGTTTTTTTGTTTTGTTTTGTCTTACAGAGCTCCTGGAACTGTAAGGACTGGGTTGAGAAACAGGAGGAGTCATAGTAGGCAATATTAGAAAAATATGTTTCTTTATTTTAACTCAAAGATTTATAAATGACCAAAGATCATCTGAGCTCATAAAAGAGGTCAAAAAAACTAAACTGAACTCAAGCAAAAATGCAAACAAACTGGCCACACAAACAAACATTACTGACCTAACAAAGAAATGATACACACGGGTAAATATCAAACCAATTAAGACATAATAGGGGAAATAAAATAGAATACAATTACAAACAACAGTACAGCTAGTTTGACTAAACTAAATACCCAAAAATGAAAATCAAAAATATTATGTGGGTTTGGCCATCACAGGACCCAAACGCTCCACACACAGAAGGAAGAGCCTGAATTGTTTGGCGCCAGCGCAGACAGAGTCATTTTAACTCAGCTAAACATGCAGAGAGCGACAGCTTGCAGTTGGATCCAGCAACATTTGGACGACGCTTCGCTTGGAGATTGACTGTTTACTGCAACATGCTTTCAACATGGAGGAAATGTTTACCTGTTTGTTGAAACCTCCTGGTAGACAGAAAGCTCTGAACTGCTTCTGATAATTCACCAGGCATGGACGGAGAGGCGAGTCTGCCTGGAGATTTCAGTATTGATCCAGTCCCTCTTTGCTTTTTTTTTCTTTTCAACTTCATCATCAATAAAGTGGTGAATCAGTGATTGGATGATGTCAGGCTGCCTCCATTTCTCATCGTTCACCCACAGAGGAAAGATCAATCTTTCCTCTGTCTGCACAAAGGCCCTCTGCAACCAGAGTCTTTACTGATTGTTTTAATTAGACAACAGCTCAAGAAGAGTTTGTTTATTGTTGTTATCTCAATGCTTTAGCTTTCTTTAATCTACACTTGGCTCTTAGCTGTGTGAAGGTTTTCCTTAACATTGATCCTGTTCATTTGCACCATGAAACAATTACAGAAAGCTTTATCTGTTATCTTTTACACCCGTCATGAGAATAGGGAATGGATCTCATACTGCTGGAAAGTTTGTTTATTCTCTCCTTAAATCGTCCACATTTGGTTTGGTGCCAAACATCTGCAACCGCTGGTGATCCAGACTAGCTAGCTGTTTTGCTGATGTGTGTGTGTGTGTGTGTGGGGTGTGTGTGTGTGTGCGTGCGTATGTAAACAGGATGTGCCAGACAATGGTTGTTGCACCACTGAGACCTAAATGCTAAATTAAACTGTGAATATGTCTTGCCTCTTCAAGCTTGTATTGTCTGTCAGTAAAGACACAAATCAATATTCAACAACAGAATATGCAAACCTTATGCTCTGCTGCTCAACACATAGATGTGTCTTATCACAAATATGGCATTTAAAGGGAAATAATCTGGAACAGTATAAGGCTTATTGCCAAACAAATGGAATAATTTCCTTTTACACCAAAAAAAGTTTCCTTCTTATTTGACCAAGAAAGAAAATATATAATAGAAGTTGTTTTCTCAAAGTCACCTGGTCTGATTTTCAGCACCATGGACAGAGAAACATCCTGCTGAGTTTACAAGGAAATTCAGCTCATGTGTTTCACTCAGAAAGCTACATAAACAACATAAAGAAACTCACATTTTATTTCCAATAATGTCGAACCCTAGCTTGATACAGCTTAGCTGAATGTAATAGTAATATTCTTATTGAGTAATACTCAGTTTAATTGTATTAAGTTATATTACTACACATACAAACTCAATAGAATTAGCCAAATATACATATTCGGCTAATTTAAATGTCTTGACAGTAAAGTATGTGACAGATAATCTGAGAAGAAAACAGCCTCCTTGTGTGTGGAGAGTCTTAGCGCTGTCAATAATGCCTGTGTAGGCTGCTTACAACCTCCCCTTGTTCTGCACCAGGCTACAGCTTCTTTCCAATGTCAGAGAGCAGAGTTAGCACAACCACCGATGATGACAGATAAACAATTTATCTTTAAGGGTAAGTTGTTTCTCCGAAGCAGCCATTAGCACAATGAGTATCAGCTGAACATGAGATTGATTGACAGCGCTAAGACCCTCCTCCTTGCTCTTCCTGCCAGGAGGAGGGCTGTTTCTGACTGCCATTGGTGGACTGCATTTCTATAAATTGAAATATTAGCACATTACATCATAAAGTAATGTTTTGATTACTGTATTATGTAATCACACACAGATTGCATAATAATCTACTTAGATTACTTTTCTGTCTTATAAAAGCACATTCCCAAAATAAAAGATCAAGTTTCAAGCTAAAGAAAGACAGCAGATTTTAATATCTCATCCATCCATCCATCCATTTTCAGATCATCCTTCTCCCTAACAGGATCGGGAGGTGCTGGTGCCGATCTCCAGTTGCGTTCCGGGCGAGAGGCGGGGTTCACCCTGGACAGGTTTTAATATCCCTCCTCTCATAATTGATATTCCCCGCTGCAAGCCGCGCCACTTCCCGTAGAGGGAGCGGTCTCCCTCCGCCGCATGTAGAGCCGACAGGACAGAGGTAGTGAGTCAGTTCAGGCGGGCAGCTGGCAGAGAACATCACGCAGACTTTTTTCTTTTCTCTTAATTCCCCCAGCACTGCTCAGAAGGAACAGCTCACTTGGAATTAAACAGATAAATAAACTAAGCATAAAAGAAAAAGAAAATTTTCGTCAAGCACTTTTACCCAATGTGAAGCGAAAAGAGGCTGAAAAGAAGAGAAAACAGCGGAGAAATGGGAGCGTTCAGGCTGCTGCTGGGGAGTTTGCATTACCTGGGACTGTATCTGCAACTTAGTGTCTCCACAAGGCAGGCTGGACACCGAGACCTGGAGAACCGCATCTCTGGAAACGGTATGTGTTACATCTCTCTTTTCCTGTGAGAGCAGAGAGGAGAGGCTGGCACAGGTACTGCCTGCCATCTGCTCACCGGCGGAGGAGGCAGACAAAGAGCACAGGCTTCAAAGGTTGCTGCTGATTACATGCGACTGATGCAAATGAGTGTTTTCCTGTTTCTGTTACTGACACAAAAATTGTTTTTAATGTAATTCATACAGGAAGTAAGTTTTATTAATGTTTTATTTTTTTATGGAGGGACTGCAGCAACCTGTAAGTCCCAGAGGATTTCACCCTCCTGAGGTTTGTTCTTGTTGCCAATCCTGATACAGTTGGCATGGAGATGATTTTGTTTTCTCCTTCCTGTCCTATCAGCAGCTGATGAACTGATGTTATAATATTCTGTGCCAGTGCTTCCACAGAAATCTGTATCCTGTTCCAATCTGCCTCCTTCTCCCCAGCCAGGAGCTTTTCCTAAATGGCCTCTGGTGTTTGTTCTTGGACACAGCGAAGAGGCAGGCAGAGTAAATGTACAAACCCTCTGGCTTCTCTTTGCTTCCTTTGCTTCAGGGTGGCAATTAGTGCAACTTTCAAACTGACAAAAATGTAAAAAAGGAGATAAGTTTTAGTGCGTAAGTAAGTAACAAGAGGGGGAGTGGATTTGTGGAATAGGACGAGGATGATGGGAAAAAAACTGTCTTAAAAAAATTATATGATTATATGATTAACTGTAAAAATGTTATTTAAAATAATAAGAATCATACCAACCAGATGTTATTTTTTCATGTCATTAAAAGAACTTAAAACTGCAGAAGAAGAGATCAGCTGGAACAGCAGGAAGTTGATTTTATCTATTTTTAGGAATGATTGAAAGTGGAATAAGAGCTCAATAAACTCAAACATTTCAAATCTCCAGTAGGAATAGTAATGTTTCTGCAGAACAATCTCAAGTTTCCTAAAGATGTTTGACTCTGCACACACAGTAAACTGTCGTCATGCTGTTGCTGACCTTTGCTAACGCTAGCCCGCTTTCTTTCTGATGAGATCATTTGATAATTCCAGTTTTGTAAATTGTTTCAGTTCTCTGTAGAGATAAAGTTAACAGAAAAAATAAACATACTGCTTTGCTTTGTCGTCATACAATCTGATGACTGGTGTTTCAGCTGCTTTCTGCAGCCCCAGAATTCCAAATATGTCTCACTACAAGATCCATCTAATAAAACACTAAACTAATGGAGGCCAGCCTAATCGGCCACAATGTGTCATTTGTTATTGAATTTTAAAACCTATCTTTGTTATTAATTGTTGCTTGTTGTTCCACAATAAAATACTGTAATTACTTTATTGCCCAGCATTAACAGAGCCCACCATTTGTTGTATTAATTCATTCTTTTGACACTGTACAGCATTCTGCTCAGGTTTATAGTGGCTTTTAGTGCTTCATAAATACAGTGACATGGTATCAGGGATGAAGAAGGCTGGTTCTGTTCTTTATTGATGCAAATAAGGATTTTTATAAATCCTCTACATGAGACTGTTTTGGAAAAACAGTGTTTTCAGTCAGAGGCTTCTTTAGATTTGATGTAATACAGACTGCTAGAGGACATCTTTCCTGCCAACAGCCAACACCATCTACAATAACTCTGAAGAAACTGAATTAAGGAGTTAGAACAAAATTTAAATCCCCTTTGGGATCAATAATGTATTTTTTTACTTGAACTAAATTAAATTTATAATTAATACATTCAGACTATTTTCCCACATCGTTTCTCTTCCTAAAACCAGCAGGGCTGCTAAAATGAACAAGTTAACTAGTATGTTTCCCAGTTTGCTCAACTGGAGAGGAAATTATCCAGTTGGTTTAAACTGGGAGCTGAAGTGTTCTTACAATTGTCTTTTTTTGGACGTCCTGCCTTCATTCTGATGTTTCCTGCCTGTTAGGCTTTTCAGCTTATTGCAGCAGACATTAAAAGACTTTGAACATCATCTTTATCTCCATAAATCTGACAGTCACTGTGTACAAATCAGCGTCAGTCTCACAGCACAAAGTGTGGCCGAAACCTTGCTGATCCCAGCATTCTTTACATCTTTCCTTCTTCCCAGTGATTAATCGTGTCTTGATTTCTCTTTTTCCCACTTTTGAAAAAATGGAGTATTCATGATACTGCTTCCACATGGATCCATATGAATAATATCTCGGAGCATGTCGTTGCATCTGTGACATAAAGGATTTGCATCTGTGGTGTTTCTTTTTTTTCCCTCCAAGCTGAATGATGTGTTTGTCTGTGTGAGTAGATATTTTAGAGCTGTGTGGGGGATTTTTATGGAAATGAGCTGATGCGTCTACACTTGTTTTTGTATTGTCCTCGGGGCAGAAAGCACAAAAAGAGAAGGGCAACAAGAGATTTTAAACTCAAGTAATTCCCAGTTCTTAATTGAAACACTAAATGGCCTTGTGCTGCATTAATTAACAAAGAATGGAGCATATTAGTGTTGTGTTAAGGCAAATCGGATTTTCTGATGGATTCTGCTTAAATAACTCGCAGAGCGGAAATGGTAAGACAGACGCTCAAGAAATCATATAACACCTTTATTATTTGCAGAAGAATTGCTCTATTTTTCTTTGTGTTATGAGAAGAATCTTACCTGTGGGTGATCTCACTCTGACTCACATCGCCCTCATGAATTTAAGGGCTTTGCTGAGAAATGGGGAAGCTCTTGTCTGCTTTCCTAAAGCTGTATTACAATTCTGGCCCACCTTGCTTGTTTCCAAGTACCTGAGGGTCATAATTAATCTTCCTCTTTCTTCACTGTCACTCCACCAGCTGGAGCAGAAATCAGCAAAGAACAAACAAAAAGAAAAGAAATAAGATAAAAAGAATATCAATTAGAAATTCTTGGTGTGAGTTTACAATCTACATCTGCTCTGGTGCCTTCACTCATTGATACTTTTCAATTAACTCCTAATTAGGAGCAAGAGAGGCAATTCCAGCCAATCAATTGCTTTAAGTTTTCAGTGAAGGGTAAATAAGCCATTTTACCAGCAGAAGGCCCAAAGTTTGTAAGAAAAAAAAACTAAAAACTAGAACCAAGTCCACTATTATTGACATTTGTGGTAAAGGACTGAAAAAAAACACAGAAAAAAGTTGAAAAAAATTCAATCTTAAATTTACTTAGTTATTCCATAAAAACTTTAAGAAATCAATGGTTTAAGCAGAAACACCTGTGCCAAAAATAAGGGGCAAAACTGGTGCATATTTAGCATTGGTTTCAAAATTTTTATCTGTCCACGATTTTCTGGTTTTCCTGAAGCATAAATATGTAAAACAAGGCCTGTTTTTATTCTTCAAAAACAGATTGACTGGGGGCATGATATAGAAAATATGCTTGTTCTCCATAGCTCAGAAAATAGCTACAATAAAGTATTTCCCCTTAAAGTATTTATCGCAGATTATTTTAAGGTATGTTGAAAAAAGACATTACCGGCAAATAAACCAAAGCCTGAGTTTTATTTTTTCGGCCTCTTTTGACCCCCATCACCAGAAAAACCAGCAGTGCCCCATCTCCTGGATTGGATTGGATTTGAACCATTTTTCTAATTTACTCATTCAGCGAATCCTTACTGGCTGCCTCAGCCGCTTTAAAGGCTTCAAGCATGGCTGCTTCTTCACACTGTAGTGCTATTTGAGAGGGATTGAGTAGATGGATGTCTGAGTTTAAATCTGGCACAGATACAGCTACAGTCTGCTGTGGTTAAGCTCATTCTAACCCCATCTCTATCCACTTAAAAACTGGTGTGGAATCTGGAGAAGGCAGGAGGTGACAATTAAACGGGAACCATGAGGCAGTGGGATCATCCTTCTATTACACTATTAAATATTTAACAATGGCCAATGCAACATTGCTGTCAGACTGGCAGACAAAGCAGCTTGTGAAGTTTACTCTTGTGTTCTGCTGAATTAAACACCAAATGTGGCCAGCTGCAGCTCTTTTCCTCCCACTCGCTTACATTTCATCGTGTGTGATGGTGGGCGATGTGCTGACATGACAGTGGGCTTCTGTACATTATCACATCATTGCTTCCACCAGGAACAACAGCCATGAAAAACTCAAAAACTAATACCGTCCAAAACATATTTGATGATGAACAATGACCCAAACAGCATAAGGAAATTTTGTACGATCAAATCAATCAGATTTATTTTTGAAGCAGCATAAAAACAGCAGCATTGTACATAGAAAGCAATGGATACAATGAAATGAACAGAAACAACAAAGTTAGAAACAAACAAAGATTAAAGGGGGGGCTGGATACCAATAAAATGACTCAGTTTAGGAAGAAAGTCAAAGTAGAAATGTGACTTTAAACAAGATTTAAACACAGTAATTACTGAAGGCTGCCTGATTTGCAGAGGCAAACTATTCCAGTGTTGGAGCTGGAACTAAAACTCTTTCCCCTCTTGAGTTACAACAAACCTTAGCTACTGTAAAACGTCCCATTGGTTTGGTGACCTCAGTGAAAAATAAATTTGGGCCGCACGATACCATCTCTCTTTATCACTGTACATGTAAATACTCATGCTCATACAAGTGACAGCCTTGTTCTTTGGTCAGCCAAAGAAAACAAACAGCAAAAAACTACATTAAAATTAACATATCACAGTTCCAGAATTACAGCAGCTACAGTCTTCTTTCACATTAACACTTTTTTTTTTATCATCACTTCCACCACTGATAGATTGTGAAGTACACATATTTTCATCCACCCTAGGCTAAGCTAATCAGTGGCTGCTGGTATCTTTTATTGTGTTTAGTATACCACTGCAAAAAAATACACAAATCATATTACATATGTTTTTGGCTATTTTCTTAAATTAGATTGATTTGTTCAGAAGCTTGAAGAGTCTTTGAAGTAGCAGAATTGAAGTAGCTTGTTAGCAGATCAGTATATTGATTTATGATAAGATTTCTAAGAAACCACCAGTTCTACTGAATATGAAATATGTCTGTGAGGGTTT